AATAATGGATCCAATTTTTATGAATTTCAAGACCTCAGTTCTGCTGGAAAAAATCATTGGTAGAATTAGGAGAGGGGTAAGGATTTTTCAAGTCCCAAGGACATGATAGGCATCAGATGGAAGTGTCCTAAATGTCTACAAACAGAAACAGAAAAGCACACATTTTACTCTTTCTTTGGTCTTTTTGTTTCAATTTCTTGCTTTAAAAATATAGAGAAACTAGTACTTAATTCATAGACTTCTTGTGAGGTTAAGTTTGTTTAGCACAAAGTAAGCTTATAAATTTAATAACTATTCATAAATTCAATAGAAAATTCCCAAGTCTAAAGTTCTGCTTCCAATTCTTTCTATGTCCTTCATGACTATTTGATAACTCCTCTTGACTAGCCCACTGAAACTTCAAAATCGACATGAAGCAAAAATATTACCCATTTTCTCCTCTTCCTTTCCTCACAATACATTTTCTTGGATTCTTCATCCTACTAAATGGTATGGAATTTAACCAGTTTCTCTTGCCCAAACCACTGTTCTTATCTCATTTGTTTCATTTACTTATTTAACAATCTATTTACTATTGATTATATCTTCTGAATATCCTTTAAATTCATTCATGTTTCACATTAAAACATGATCACCATTCTATTTCTGTCTGGGAGTTTTTTAGCAGCCTCATATAGGAATCTGCTGCCTCCAGGTTTTTCACTCTCCCATCCATTTTTTACTCATAGAAACCAGTTTTAGTAAACTCCAACTAGATTATGCCAATCCTCTACTTAAAATAATTCAATAGTTATTCATTTTGTGTGGAATAAAACCCAAATACCTTAATATAGCTTTAAAGCCTTTTCTGGCATTGTTGGTGCTAACCAATTTCTGTTGGTGTCCACTGACCTAACTCTTCTTTTCCTCCCACCTGTTCACTCACACCCTCTTCAGGCTACAGTCACCCTGTCCTTCTTTTGGTTTCTCAAACTATGTGCTTTTCCTTCTGGACTTTCACACAGGCTATTCCCTCTGGAATCTGTAGCTTAGCTTGAACTTGGGTAGCAATGAGAATGAAGGAGAATGATTTGTTAATCCCTTTTCATTGTTCTATTTTACACCCATTAGGATAACTATATTTTTTTCTAAAAAATGGTAAATAGCAAGTGTTGGTGAGAATGTGGAGAAACTGGGCCCTTGAGACATTGCTAGTGGGAATATAAAACAGTGTATCCTCTATGTGAAACCATTTGGCAGGTCCTCAAAAATTAAATATTAAAACATCAAAAATAAATTAAAAATTAAAAGCTTGTAATAAAAAAATAAAAAACTAAATATATTAAATTACCAGTGACCCAGCAGTGCTATGCCTAGGTATGTACAAAGGAGAACTGAAAACAGGTGTTCAATCCAAAACTTTCAAATGAAGGTTTGTAATAGCATTATTTATAATAGTCAAATGGAGAGAACTCACATTAAATGTATGTACATGGGCAAAGCCTCCGCCAAAACGTCCTTGTTTGACATGTAGATTATTTCTAACTGAAAATAATCAAGGCCCAAAAGACTCAGGAAGAAACTTTGACCTTCCCCCTGACTGCCTAAAATACTTTACACACAGGACCTGCTCCAGGAAAGGAGTCATCTCCATAGATAACTCCATTATAATACGGACTAGGCGTAGTAGGCAGGGAGGAACCTAGAAAGGCCTGTTTGTTAAAATTCCTCTTTGTGTCCTGTTGTTTCTGTGTGGCCAGGCAAATGTTTGCTTACTAAACATTTACTCATTTTCATCACACTGTGAATCACTTTCCTTCCCTTTGAGGTCCCAGACTCCACCCCTTCATGGTTCAGGATGACGTATATACACTCTTTATGCCTGACTGTCTTGGGAATCTCATGTCTGTGTGGATACCTGTAGAGATGAAATTAAATTTGATTTTTTATTATTAATCTGTCTCATATCAATTTAATTCTTAGACCAGCCAGACAACCTGAAAGGGTAAAGTTTTTCTTCCTCAACAGTATCAATTTACGAATGGATAAAACAAATGTGTGAAATCTAAACAGTGGAATAATTTTCAGCCATAAAAAGGAATGAAGTTCTGACACATGATGCAACATGGATGACCTGGAAAACATTATACTAAGTGAAAGAAGCCAGATATTGATGGCTGACATCTTGTATGGTTCCATTTATGTCCAAAGTCCATAACAGTCAAATCCATAAAGACAGGAAGTCGATCAGTATTTGCCAGATGACTGGGGAAAGATGAAATAAAGAGTGACTACTTAGTGAGTATGTGGTTTCTTTTTGGGGTGATGGTGATGAAAATGTTCCGGAATTAGATGGTGGTAATAGTTGCACAACATTCTATACGTACTAAAAGCCACTAATAGTGTAAAATGGTTAAAATGTTGAATTTTATTTTATGCAAAATCTTATCTTAATAAAAAGTTAAATAGTAAGCTCAGTATCATACAAATAATATACAATGCACATACATCTAATAAGCCTGATTTCAAGTATTTGTTCTCACCTATTCACTGTCCACCTCCCAGTGAGGCAGGATTTCTCAGTCACATTTTTCCTGAGTTAAACCAAAGCCACAGGTTTCAAGTTCATTCTAATTCCAGTGTGTCAAGCCCAAGAAGAGCTACAGTTAGTCGTGTGCTAGAGACTGTGTGTACTGGTTTGTAAGAGTCAAGTGTTAGATTTTCAGGAATTCTGTGAGTGGGTCAGCATCATATTGGTAAGTTTGAAATTAGCCATAGTAGGAGTGTCTACACCTTGGGATTCAGCAAATCTACAAATCAAACCCCCAAAAGCCAGTTTTCAAACTTCAGTACAATCTTCCAGTATAAATGCTCTTCTACTTTCATAGTTCTTAACCCTATAAGTCTTGAGTGACTGCTGTCCCAACATCTATCCCTTTCTCTCCTTCTCATTCTTTTCCTTGAAGCCACAATATCCTTATACTTGAAAGCCTATCTGCATCACCATAAATTATTCCCCCTCGCAAAAAATGCTACCATGCTTGGGAACATGAAGGGTAAGCATTCATCAGCCCCCCATTGGCTACAACCCTCTTACTCCCAACTTACAAATCAGAGTGTGGCTCAGGCCCCCACTTCAGACCTCATCTGGCTGCACTTCAGTTTCAGCCACTCTGTCAGGCTCCTTTCTTCTGAAGTCTGATTTTTGTTTCTCTTCGGCTATTTTTTTTTTTCCCAATGACCCTTCATGTTCCCAAGCATGGCAGCATTTTTGGGGAGGGGGAGTAACACATTATTTATGGTGATGCAGAAGGGCTTTTAGGTATAAGGATATTGTGGCTGCAAGGAAAAGAGTGGGAAGGAGAGAAAGGGATAGACGTAGGGACAGCAGTCACTCAAGACTTACAGGGTTAAGAACTATGGAAGTAGAAGAGCCTTTATACTGGAAGTTTGTACTGAGCATGTGTTGGGTTTTAAATATTCGTGTTATCAATTTTACCCTGTATGCACACACAAAATGTTCCCGATCAGGGGCAAATCACCATTATTCACTTAAAAAGCAAACAATAACTGCAGTTCCCCACACCAGATTCTGACACCTACGGCTAGACAATGAAGGTCAGGTCAAATGCCCTATGCATGCAGTCAAGGAATGAAGAAATTGATGCATTTTCTCAAGCCAGGGAGACTATTCCTCTTCCCCCTACCTCCTCTCCTTCTGAGATCAGTCTCCAAGGAAATAAATCTCTCCTGGGAAAAAATAAGACCTTTCTCTCCAGCTCTAAAACCCAGCCATGCTGTCATGCGTCTGAAGTTAGGTCAGTCTCTCTGGAGTCTCTCACTCTCTCCAGTTGTCTCTCCAACTACATGTGTAAATCACTATCTCAAGACTTGTTCTTAGCCCAGGATCCCAGATTTGGGCAAAATTTATTCAGAAAACCCAACTCAGGAAAAATCCAAAAAAATTTCTCTACATCCCACAATATGCCAGGAATCTGAGCAGACAGCTGAGAAGAAGGAAGTCCCACAGAGCAAGGTACAATTTCCTTGAAAATCCCCACAGAGCTCCTGAGAGATGGGAAACGTCAGACTGGCTCACACTGCCTGGCATGTGGGCGGTGCGGACAGAACACCCCGAGAGTGTGTCCCAGCCTCACAGAGTGGGCTGTGCACAGAGCCTGGGAAACGCTGTGGGAGGGCCCCTCGCTGCAGCTTGAGGACGGCCGCTGGGCGGAGACAGGAGGGCGGAGATGGAGGCGTCTGGCTGAAGCCCAAGGACGAGTTTGTGCTTTGTTTTCAGCCTTTGACCGCCGGACGGTGAGAGCTCATTCCAGGACACGTATGACATCAGCAACAGTGACACCACACATTTGTAGAAACTTTTATAATTTGTAAAGTGCTGTAGCATCCAGTTTCTCACTGGATCCTCATACAACAACTGCGAGATAAATGCTGAAGACTCTGAAAGGAGAGCTGCTCAACCTCAAATGAAGAGGGTTGTATAGGACATCCAGGTTCCAAGGCGGTTTATAAACACTTCACCTAATTATTGTGCTCTTTTTTTCTTCTTCCAAATCATGTACATACTACAGTAAATCTCATTTCACTGCTGTGGGCCATGCTATCTGCTATCATCAGATTCTCCTCCCATTTGTATTACAGGATTGTTAAGGTCCTCTGTGGATAAGGTGAGACAGAAGGGGGAGTCTCCGCCTCTCCCCTATTTGTATACAATCCTGGTGTTCGCTCTGTTTGTATTCATCATAGCCATTGCGGAGGACACAAAGAGATCTAAAGTTTAAATAGGAGCTGAAGGAGAAGTGTTCAATAAACGTTATTTTTGTTTGGTAGGATTAGAGATACTATCACCTAATACTGAAGAATCCTATCGACGTTTAAAATAGTTTTTATGTTTCTTAATACACATCTTGTCAAGATTCTATTTATCTTTGAAACAAGGGATTTATACAATTTGGGTCATCCTTATTTAATGAAGAAGACTAACTTCCTAGCCAGCAAAGCCTATCCTAAAGGACAACCTTTCTGTCCTCTTTTCTAAGAGGACCCTTCCTGCTTGCTTGTAAGTAACCAGTGGGAGCCAGTCACTCAGCAACACTTTCTTTTTGAAGAAAACACAAGGGCCACGTGTTCACGGATCTGTTTGCTCTTTACTCCATAGATGATTGGGTTCATCATGGGGGGAACAAGGACATAGAGGTTGGCCAACAGGATATGGACATGCTTGGGGATATTTTGGCCAAAGCGCTGAGCAGTGACAGTGAAAATCCCTGGGAGGTAGAACATGAGGATGACACAAATGTGGGAACCGCAGGTGCTGAGAGCTTTCATCCGAGCATCATGGGATGGCAGCCTGAAGACGGCCTGGAGAATGAGCCCATAAGAGATGACTATTGTAACCATATCTAGCATAATACTAAGTAATGGCACAGAGATTCCATACCATATATTGATGGTGATATCAGCACAAGCCAGCTTTGCCAGCCCTATGTGTTCACAGAATGTGTGGGCAATGATGTTTGACCGGCAGAAGGACAGACGCTTCACAAGGAAGACAATGGGGAAAATAGTTGCAAAACTCCTGAGCACTACAACACTCCCTATTTTGCCAGTGACGCCAAGGCTAAGAAGGGTGGTGTATCTCAGTGGGTAGCAGATGGCCACATAGCGGTCAAAAGCCATGGCCAAGAGGATGCCTGACTCCGCCACAAAGGCAAAATGCGCAAAGAAGAGCTGGGTTACACAACCACCAAAGGAGATGTCCGTGTCATCAAACCAGAAGATGCTCAGGGCTTTGGGGACTGTGGATGTGGATAGAATCAGATCCCCAAAAGCCAGCATGGAGACGAAGAGGTACATGGGCTCATGAAGAGTGTGCTCCATCGCCACCACACAGATCAGGATAACATTTCCTGACACCACCACCAGGTATATCAGGCAGAAGGGGATGGAGATCCACCCGTGTAGCTCTTTCAGGCCAGGGATGCCAGTGAGGATAAACGTATCATACGTGAAAGTGGAATCGTTGTGATCTGCCACGCCTAAATTATGGTATGGAACTTTCATCACTTGTCTGTAAGGAGAAAGAAAGAAAGAGAGCTAGCCTGTCACAAACAATTAAAGACATACTGACTAACCCTCAGCAGGTGCAGACATCTGCTGTGTAACATCTCAGTTACTGAGTTCCCACCTGCTCAGAGATAGTAATTATGGACCTAAATATGTGCTGTGTTCTGCTATGAAGAGAGTGATTCCAGACATGCAAAATGGGATCAAAGCATTTTAAAGATATTTCCAAGGAAAATCCTGCGGCCAGTACTATTTTCTCACACAACTGACATAAATTTAAAATGATGGTCATACAGTTTTAAAAGTTATATTCCCTGACTAAACATTTTAAGACTGGAAAGAAAATTATGCATTTGTGTAAGTAATATCAAAAAATGAATAAAAACAAAAAGTTTTTCTTTTTTAAATAATTAAACAGTTCTGATATTTAGCACACACTCTTCCCTGACTGATTACCTAAGCATCTATCAATCACCTAGAGTGTGTATGGAGATATCAACAGGTGCATAAAAGAGAAAAACAGAGATACAATTGGATACTGCAACCACTTCTTACTTAAACTCCTTTTAAAATAGATTTGATAATGTCTTTCTTTGTTGGTTTTTAATTCCTTAAGGTTTTATTTCTGCATGTGCAAGGACTAAATTTTAATAAAATTAGTAGACAAGGAAATTCTGTCCTTTAGGGAATACAATACAGCTGACTTTCCTCAAATCACCCCTCCCAGAGATTTTTGGAAACCTTCCCACACCTCATGCTAAATGGGTTTCATCACTGAAAAGGGAACATACAATGAAATATGCTATATTCTTTAAAAATGATCAAAATAAAATTTCCAAACCTGCTATCATTTTAAATGACCTAAAAATTAATAATTAATCTTTTTAAAAGAAGTTAATTTTCTTATTAAAGAAGAAAAATCGTTTTCCTCTAACAGGAAAGATCAACTAATACACAAAGACAGCTTAGTTATTTTTATGTTAAAAATAAATGCCATTTAATATTTACCATTACTGTTAAGTTAAATAAAAAGAGATTTCCAAAAATGCTTTTGCTTGGTGTCATTGATGAAGAATAGTAATGCTACATAAACATATATTTTCATAGATAGAATGTCTGGTAGATGAACCATGGAAATACTATCGCTATATTTGAGTAGTTGAATGAAGAGATGATTTTACTTGATTTTGTTTATCTAGTAGTTTCTATTTTTCTATTATAGGGAAAAATACATTTTCTATTGTCAAGTATATGAAAATAATTTGATGAAGTTTGTTTTATTATTAATGGGTTACAAATGTAGGTCTCCATTAGAAGTTACATAATTCATATCTTCAACCTCTACAGGAGTTTACTCAGTACCACCTCTAATCTGGAGTAATCTAACTTTCTATTGCACTAGTTCCAGGCTCATGAAGGATCTGGAGTTGTTCTTTGACTTTAAAATAAAACAGGAATTCTAGAATTGATGGATTACTTGAAATATTCACTAATGAATCAGCATGGCCAGAATAGGGAGTCACATTTGCCAAAAAGAATAAGTGTGTATGGAAAAATATATGCTTGTCCTTTACTTCATATTAGGATATCTGCCTAATATTTGCACTTTAAAAGCTTGAGACATCAGAAAGAAGTGATTTTGCCTGGCAAGTTAATCTTTGTGTGGGTAAGCCCTGAGCTTCAGAGCCATGCGGAAGTCACAGCCACCCACAGAGGATGAGATCTGAGAAGCACCTTAAAATTTCTGACTTTTAACAGGGTCTATTCCTGACTTCCCTAACCTATCAAGAGCTCCCTTTCCTCAGACCACCCACTCAGACACATCTCATATCTGGAGGCCTACCTTGGGTTAAAAAGATGAGAGCACTCTCCTGAAATAGCCCGCATTAAATCTTGTCTCATGCAGGGACCCCTGACTGCAGGCATTCTCATCACACACTTTCTAGGGAACTGCAGTGAGATCATGACAGCTGTTAAGATATCACCTGGAGAGGCACAAAGAGCAAGGTACAGGAGTGGTCACTATTCCAGGGAAGAGCAAAGAAGCCTGAGCTCAGAAGTAGGGGAGGACCTGCTGCAAGGGAGCAGGGGAATGCACATCTGGGGAATAAAGACAACCCAGGAAAGGCAGTCAAAACATACACTCTAAACAGGTTACATCCTTTATTATTTACCTCCTGCCACGGACAAAGGAATGGCTTCCTGCAGTCTAGGTAATTACAGTCACTGCAGTGGGTTTGTGTGTCCAAGTTCACCGGAAATGCTCTTCCTGTTACCTGTGCAGCCCAGCTCTGTCGCCACCATCCATTCTGTTGGCCACAGAAAGGAGACGCCCACAGAAGGCAGAAAGAGCCTGGGTCATTTATTGCTCCTGGCAAGTCGTTAGGGAGTGACCTCTGGGACTTGGTGCCTGATCCTGCCTCCAGCTAAACTGCAGACTGCAGATGGGGTCAAATGAGTCAAGACAATACTTACCTCTTTTCCTGCTGAGCTGTCACTAACACCTTGATTGTCCAGGTACTGAGCAGTGAACTCCGTAGAGATGCTAAGGGCACAACAATTAAGGGAGCACTTAAGCCCCTGAGAGTGAGTTCCTCCTTAATCTTTGCATTCTAGGCACCTTACTGGTCTCACCTTAGTCAGTCCCAGCTCTGGAGGGAGCATGATTTAGTTCGTCCCTGCAGCCTTTCAATGCTTAGCTCCTCATCATCTCTGCCTGGACTAGAGTGAAAATTCTCCAACTAGTTTCACTGCCCATGGAGCTTCATTCCAAATGCATCTTACTTATTCCAGTACCAGGCCCGCATGACAGCCAGAATGGCGTTTCCAACATGCCACTTTCACTCTGTCACTCCCAAGTAAAACCTTCCATCAGTTCCTTCGTCCCTTAGCCTTTAGAGTGAGATCTAAGTTGCGGAGCATGAGGACCAAGTTCCTGCTCACCCCCTAACTCTTCTGATCTCGCCTTCCCTCTTCTCAGCCTTGCCTGCATGCAGGGTGTGCACATATCAATGTGCAGACTGCTCCCCACCTGTCACCATGTCCTCATCTGCTTCTTCACATTTACTGCCTACCACATTTCTGTGCCCCTGGTTTACCTTGAAAACTCCTATTTTACCTTCAAAACACAACTTTCCTAACAAAATTCTTGACCATCTTGCCCTCCTCACTAATTATATCAGCACCCTCACTGTGTCATCACAGTGTCCTGTGCTTTTTAAGGTCATATCTTTTGTCAATAGCCTGGAATTACCTGCTTGCATGTGTGTTTCACCACCCATCTGTGATACTCTTAAGGACAATTAAAAAATGCTTTAGTCCTATCTGTATCTGAAGCACCTGTTGTACAGTAATTAGAATAAAATGAAATTTAAAAAATGACTGTCATGTTCTGCCCCAAACAATGTGCAAAGTGCCTTACATACAACATCCCAGTAAGTCCTCAAACCTTGTGAGATAGGGAAGCTCTCCATGGATACGTGAGGAATCTGAAACCTGGGTGGTTAAGGGAATTTTCCAGTCTCTTTCCAAGGGGGCTGGTGAACTGCAGCTAGTGTTGTAAGAATAGAAATAGGTTAGCATAAGCATAGCCATCTTAAAGGCCTAGAAGCCATTTTCTGAGTATGTGACTTAGAAAGAAAAACTGGGCCTGGGTAAGGCCTTGAAAAACAAGTTAATCATGAGCACTGGGTGGTGGGCAGCTGTGGCCTTTAGTCAGCTAACCTTGGTCAGCTAATCTTACATACCAAGCTTATCGTGCAGAACCTCCCCAACCATTGAGGAGTGGTCTTATCCTGTCCTTGCTTAACCCCAGGATGTACGTCTTGCAAGAATAATGTATAGCTGTGGAAAATTACTATGAGTTAAGTGCTTTGAAAATGCTATATAAACCCTTGGCTTTGAGTGCTCGAGGTCCTTGTTGAGACCCGCTGCGTCGGGCTGACTTGGACCCCAGCTAGCTGGCTGAATAAAGACTTTGCTTGAATTTACATCTCTATGCCTGTGTAGTTTGTTCTCTGGAGAAGCTTCGGAAGCCCGGACCCTAACAGTGTTTGGCCTCAAGCCCCTTCCCCTTACTCTCTCTTTGCTGGCTGTAGTCTGCCTCAACAAGTGGGGGATGCGTGAACAAATGAGTGAATGACAAACAGGGGCAGCAAACACACTGTTAAGCTGAATGTCATCTTTCAAGCTAGTTCCTTGAACAGGCAAAAGGAGATCCACTGCTCATAACTTGAGTATACTTCCACTCATTCTTTTTAAAAGTATATGAACCACAAATGAAAAATGAAATACCTGCTTTTAAGGAGCTTGTGGTCACATCTTTCTCCTTGTTGCCTAAGGGCCATTGCACATTCTTTTCTCTGTGTCTGGAATGTTCTGCCCTTTCCTTTAACGTGCTGGAGAAAATGGAGCATGCTGTGAAGTAGAAGTATAACTCAGGGGTCAGCTACCTCAGTTACAAAATTCTCCACTTAAATATCTGGCCAGTTTGGATACATCTTCTACTTTTCATTTTTTCTTATAAGATCTGCCTCCTGTGGGGAGAGTAGGGATTACATTTGATAATGTTTCTAAAGTCTTTGGCCCTATAATTGATAACAAACCAAAAATCCAGTAAACATTATTAACTTTAGTAGCTTTTAATTAAAATTAACCTCATCTTCCAAGTATCTTCCTCAAAGAATCTTTCCCTTTCTCCCCCAGGCCTGACCAGACACCTCAGTTATTTACTTTTACAATGCCCTGTAGATTCCCTCACAGTTGTCAGAGGTAGTGATTCTTTATACGCTCATAGTCTGTCAAGTATTTGAATAATGTGTCTTCCTGCATGAACTGAATACTTGAGTGAGGCATTCCACTAGCTATTCTTCATTATGTTCCTGGTGCCTAGTGGGCACCACACATGTCTGTATTGAATATTGAACGTGTGCATAAGTGATTGCCTGCCCACCTCAGTAGCTTCTCTTCTCAGCACTTGGCTAAATGTACCTGGGTCTACTGAGTGGCACACGATTCTCAGAACACATCATACCCACTCCCACCTCTCAGCCTTTGCACCTGCTGGTCTCTAGGCCTGAGATTCCCTTTCATGTCTTTGAACCTTACTCATCCTCGAGACTCATATTGAGTTGACCTAGTCCTCCAGCTCTTCTCTGATCCCTAGGCTGTGGCATTACCCCTCCATTTGGTTTCTGTGGACAGCTTTGAGTTTCCTATGACTCGTTCCCTATTGAGATTTCATTTTACAAGTCTGTGGACCTTAGCAGGTTATGTCCTCTAGTGAACAGACTGATATTTATCTCTGAATATCCAGAGTCTGGCACAATGCTTGGTGTTCTGGGCCTGACATACTATTCTTATCTTAATAAGTGATGTGTGAAAGAAGTGATCTTGAAATCCCTTTACAGATACCATGCATGGTGCTCACTAGACTTCACACATATAGGTGGAATCAGCTCTATAATCACCTCCCTTGCTGAGGTCAGCTTCAAAGGGGATTATTCAAATAGAATTATAGTGGGTTGTCTTTAAGTAGCCAAAGTGGCTAGGAACTGCCATTCCCTTGCCTTGACCTTCAGTTGCTTATCTACAAGTAGGACTGTAAAGTGATAACCTGCATTTCTTTTCATGTTAGTTACCTCTAATGTGTAACAAATTAACCTAAAAGTTAGCAACTTAAAACAATAAACACTTATTATCACAAACAGTTTCTGTGTATCAAGAATTCAGGAGAGGCCTAATTAGACGGTTCTGTCTTGGGTCTCTTATTAGGCTGCAGTCGAGGTATTATGGGATTGCAGATATCTGAAGGCTTGGCGTGAGCTGGAGGATCTGCTTTCAAGAGGGCGACTTAGCTCATGCTGTTTGCTGACAAGAGGCTTTGCATCCTCCCCACACAGGCTGATGGAGTGTCCTCATGTCATGGAAGCTGGCTTTTCCCAGAGTGGGCAACTCAACAGAGAGGGTAGAAAGTAATCTTCAGTGCCTTCTGTGGCCTAGTCTCAGAAGGCACACAGCCACATCTACCATATGTTAGTCGTTAGAGATGAATCACCAAGTGCAACCCATATTCAAGGAGAGGGGATTACTCTATCTCTTGAATACAGGAGTACCAAAATTCATGAACATATTTTAAGACCACTATACTTGTTTATATTTATAATCACTTGAATTATTTGTCTTTCTAATGTTTTGTCATTTGACCTTGGGGCTGACAAGGCTATCACACTAAAATGCCCTATAGGTTCCACATATGAACCATGATACTCATGTTGTATGTGGTATCACTGGCTCTACTCAGAATAACAACTGTTTTCCAAACTATTCTGTATGAATAAATGAAACACTTATAAAAAATGTAACAACCAAACCCCCAGAGAGAAAAGTAAATTGAGTGCAGCAGTTAAGGTCCCCCAATTATTTATTTTCTCTTCTACAAACCATAGTTGTTATGGGGCATGAATTTTTCTAAAAAAGGAATTGGAGTGGGGTATGGGTTTGAACTAGGAGAAGACTACATAACAATGTTAACAATAAAAAAAGAGGTTGTAAGGTGCACTTTTGTGACATTCTGCATTAATCTGAGTTTTCAATACCACCATAAACTAATCACGAGTTTCTTAAGATTCAGCAATTCAGTATTATCTCTTTTCTTCTCTATATTATGCTATAACTTCAGAAGAGTGTGACCATAAAGAGTGTGAAGGGGTGGGCCACTAGACAGTGGATATACTGGTAAATAATACAAATACACATTTCATGTCTTTTTTCAGATGTATCAAGTAATACAAAATTGTTTTCTAATTGGCAATATAATAGTTAACATATTAATGTTACAGAATAAATGTCATATAAATAGGTGATAATATTGCTATTACTAATAATATTGAGAAGTTAGATTGAATGCCTAATGTGAACAACCACAGAAATCTAACTGAACATTAAGAGTAAGATACTTATCAGCAAGGCATTGCCTTCTGGAAGAGGAAACTGAGAGCTAAGCAGTAATTGCAAAGGATGTGATTAGTGCTAAGGCAGGAATAAACACAGGTGAGTGAGGGATGCCTTTCCAAATGAGGTGATGCTGGGTTTTAAGCTGAGTCAGCCAGAAAAGATCAAGAAGGATGTTCTAGAAGGAACAACATAGGCAAGGGGTTGATGCTTACAACATCAAAATGTGTAATTGGAATTCCAGAGAGATTATTCTGGAACATGGGGTATTTGGGGATGAGTGGGCAAAGATGAACTGAAGAGAAGGTCAAGGGCCTCACATTGCTAAATCTTGTACGCTATGCTAATGTGGATTTATTTATCCTAAATGCATTATAAACTCTCTGTGGAAATGACAATCATGTTTCTACTTTAGAGTCATAATTATGGCTTCAGGGAAGAGGATGGATTGGTGAGGAAGGACTGAAATGTTTAGATCAATGAGGGCCCACTTAGCAGAAGTGACAAGGAACCAAAGAATAGTGACTGATGGAAGGAAGTGATTCCAAATACATTTTGATAAATTGATAGGACGGGCAAGGATTTAAGTATGTTCAAGTGTTTGATCAGTATGACTGGTTTGTCATAATAAGGGCATTCTCTTTTTAGGTTTGAGTCAGAAAGGAGAACCTGTGCCCCTCCTTCCACAGAACCATTTGCATTTTCATGCTGAAGTAAGATTACATGTACTTACACAAGTGACTTATTTCTAACATCACAAAGTAACCTGCAGGGCCTGAAGGCCTCGCTCACACACACTGGGAGCTCACTGCAGAGGGCTCTGGCAGCAGAGGAGGGAGCTCTGGCCCCTTCAAAAGCCCCCAGGGCTCTGCTCACTCTTCCTGCCCGTCCTAAAAGACAGGTGCCTGCGGGGACTCAGCCCACCCCAGCCTTTGGGAGCTCTGAGCCTCAGGAGCTAGACCTCTGGGAAGGGGCTCGTACCTACGGCCTCAGGTCCATGGGCCTGAGTGCCCTCAGGAGGCTGAGGAGGAGGAACAAGAGGGTCAGTGGCTTGAGGGCGCTGTTTCCATGTGTCCCTCTGTGGGTAAAATTGTAGTATTTCCAGAATATCTCTCCTGGCTTTGGTACATCTGAGAAGTATGGCTTTAGTGCATTTGCATCTTCCCTCAGGGGTGGAGAAGTTCATTTCCATATCAATGGGTGACTACCTGGGCAACAGAAGGCTTATCTGTACCTGAGAGGTGAGGGGGAGGGCTGGTGTGTTGCTGCTGGAGCAGAGAAGAAAGACGGCCTGGGACTGCAGTTTGTGAGCAATAAACGGGTTTTAAAC